TGAGCATAGGTCTTTCCACACTCCATGCATTTATATGGTTTTTCCCCTGTGTGGATCACCTTATGGGATATAAGATTACCTTTTTGAGAGAAGGTCTTTCCACACTCCCTGCATTTATATGGCTTCTCCCCAGTGTGGATCATCGTATGGTTAAGAAGAGTACCACTTCGAGTAAAGGTCTTTCCACACTCCATGCATTTAAATGGCTTTTCCCCAGTGTGGATCATTTTGTGGTTTCTGAGGTCACTGCTGTAAGCAAAGGCCTTTCCACACTCCATACATTTATACGGCCTCTCCCCTGTGTGGATCACCTTATGGGAACTAAGACTACATTTTTGAGCAAAGGTCTTTCCACACTCCATACATTTAAAAGGCTTTTCCCCAGTGTGGATTCCTTTGTGGATTCTGAGGTCACTGCGCTGAGTAAAAGCCTTTCCATACTCCATGCATTTATACAGCCTCTCCCCTGTGTGGATCTTCTTATGGGAACTAAGATTATCTTTACGAGCGAAGGTCTTTCCACATTCCATGCATTGAAATGGCTTCTCCCCTGTGTGGATCATCTTATGGGAATTAAGATGCCCTCTTTGAACAAAGGACTTTCCACACTCCATACATTTATATGGCTTCTCCCCAGTGTGGATCATCTTATGGCGAAGAAGAATACTACTTCGAGTAAAGGTCTTTCCACACTCCATGCATTTAAATGGTTTTTCCCCTGTGTGGATCACCTTATGGGAAATAAGATGGTCTCTCTGAGCAAAGGTCTTTCCACACTCCAGGCATTTATATGGCCTTGCTATATAAATGTGGATCACTTTATGAGAAATAAGATTATCTTTGCGAGTGAAGGTCTTTCCGCACTCCATGCATTTATATGGCTTCTCCCCTGTGTGGATCTTCTTATGGGAAATAAGATTACCTTTGCGAGCGAAGATCTTTCCACAGTCCATACATTTAAAAGGCTTTTCCCCAGTGTGGATCCTTTTGTGGATTCTGAGGTCACTGCTCTGAGCAAAGGCCTTTCCACACTCCATGCATTTATACGGC